AGACTGTGTTCTCCGTTTTTTTTTCTAAAGCCTGTCATGTTTGACATATGACACAAACATATGTTTCTTTAATTGGAAACCATAGTTGGCCATGACTTCATAAAAAGCGCCATTTTTTAAGGTTTTCAGCGATATAAGCTATATATTTATTTAGAAAAATGACTAGTTATAGCCAATTAATATCTTTATTGACTAATTTCACTTAGTTGGCATGGTATTCTTGTATATGTTATGTTACGATTTATAACTTAGCCAGAATATTTTATTAAACGGTTCTTTAAAATTTCCATTAAGCGAACTAAAACTTAAATATAATCTTTACTACATACACTTTAAGTTATTTTAAAAAATGTTCAAAAAATCAGCCATTGTTTTTGTAGTATTGTTTGAGTACATAAATGCATCTTTTTAAAACTGAGTTACCTAGTAGCTTTTCTCACAGAACGACCAGTCGACTTTATTAAACTTCTCTCGTACCGCCTCCTTTGAGTGTCTTTCTTAACTCATAAGTTCTTTTGTAAACCTTGTTGTTAACCATGCTGCATAAAAAATATAAAATAGATAGGTCAGGTGATCGAGGAGGCCACGCAATTGGTCCACCTCTTCCTATTCCTGAGTTAGCATAGTTATGATATAAATAATTTTTAACATTTCTTTCATTATGGGGCGGGGGTTCCTAACGAAAGTAATGTTGGGACCATTCTATTTATGTGCGAGTCTAAATGTAACTTTTCTAACATGTCTTGAAAACCGTTAAGTTTAAGTAAGTAACGTTCACCGGTCAACGTATCCTAGAAAATGTATGGCCAAGAAAAGTTGAACCAATAATCCTACACGCTTTTTTCATTTGAAAAATTCATATATACAATTTTTGTTTATTTTAATTTACGAAGTTTGGATATAACAGTTTGACATTTTTGAATGCAACAACAATTGAACTTGGATCCATTGCTAGTCATTTTTCGAAAAAAACATATAGCTTATATCGCTGAAAAGCTTAAAAAATGGCGCTTTTTATGAAGTCATGGCCAACTATGGTTTCCATTTAAAGAAACATATGTTTGTAGCTTTAGAAAAAAATGGAGAGCACAGTCTTATTAAGGTTGTGATTATCTACAACTTTCATCTGAATTTTTTTTGTCCAAAAGATATTATAATGGAATTAGGGACACTTATAAAAAAGGCGAAATTTGTCTTCTTCGAAATATCTAGTAAGCCGTGAACTTTTTCAAAAATCTGAAAGGCGCATATTTATCACCCCACAAAACTACAATTTTTCCCCATTTAATCGAATCTATCTCCAGTAGTTTCCGAGATACCCATAGAGAACATCGTAAAAAACTCCTGTATATCTCGTTCAAAATTATGGTATACTATTTTTTCTCTTTGTTCCTCTAAAATTTGGCCTAAAACCATACCTTGAATTTGTATAAAATACTATAATATTTCTAGAACACTTAAAAGCAAGCAACAAAAACTATAAAATTACATAATTATTTTTTTTATAAAATATATATTAGTTGACACAAAACATCCCCTGATCCCCCCGTTATTTTCCCCGTGTCGTTGTGTTGTGAAAATCACGTGTGATTTTACAAACAAAAACCTGAAATACCGAAAATAATTTTGTGATGTAAAATAGATTAAGAACTTTAATTTTTTACTGATATAAACAACTCTAAACACGTCTAATCTAGAAAAGATCTGTCAAGTAATGCTATATTTGAGATAAAATTTGTTGGTAATAACTATTAAATTAATATATACTGGGTGAGTCTCAAATAAAAGTGCTTTAGTGCACATAAGTGCGACCAAATAAAAGTGCTTAAAAGTGCACATATTTTTAGGGCTGGAAGATCTCGCTAAAAGAAACATATTCTCCCTCTTTCGTTTTTCAAATTATTTCCAAAAGACCAAAATAATCTCCTGTTCTAATTTCAAAATTAAAAAAAAATATGAAAATATGTTGTTAATCATAAAAATTATTTTTTTATTTCAATTATGAGCTCCACTTCATTTTTTTCTGTTTTTGTTCACCTAAATTTAAGCTACTATTTAATTTTACCATATTATTATAATATATTTTTAATTGAAAATTAAAAAAAATTCCAATTTTTTTTCGAAAAATAGAAAATTTTTATTTTTTTTACGCGAGAAGAACCACATTGAATGTAAATATACTATCCCTTAAAATATGTGCCCTTATTTAAGACACCCTGTATGTATTTTTTATAAATATTTAATTGATTATGCATTTTATAGAAAAGATATAAAGTCGAATTTAAAATTTTCAAAAAAATAATTGGTATATCGCTTTTGCACAACTTTAAAGTATGATTTGATAAAAAACTGTAAAAATCTGGCAAAAAATGAAAAAAATGTTGCAAACTACATCAAAAACCTGAATATTGATGTATTTTTTCGATAAACTCCCCAAACATTTTTTTTAATTACTATTATAAAAAGGTTTCAACTTTTTTTGAAATTTAATGATGATTAATAGTACTTCTATAAAGTTTTAAAATTAAACATCAACACTATAAATTTTAAATAATTATATTATTTAAAACTATTTAAATTCAAAATTTTTATATCATTCAGAAAAAGATATAGATCTGATAGTGTTTTATTTTTTGTAGGAGATTAGTTTGTATTGTGTATGTTTTACCCCATTATATTTCGTTGTGTTCTGCTATGTATTATTATATTAACATATAAAATGTATACAAAATATAAATAAATTACACTTTTAACTAAACTAAAATAAATATATCAACAATTTGTTTGACTAGATCTTTGAAAATACTGCTTTCTTACAAACTAAATATTATAATATTGCCTAAAATTAAATAAAATAAATAAATAAATAATAAACATTATACACTTATTGTATATAATTACAATACTTTACTGTTTTTCTACTTCTACTGGGAACGATGTTATAAAACTGGTCGAATAACGCTTTTATGTTAAAGCATGTTAAGTTAATGTATCGGAAAATTTGAAATACTTCTAGATCTATCATTTCTAAAACGGTTTCTAAAATAGTTCTGTTCGTTGCATATTATAAACTCGGAATTATCATTTCTACCTTAAAAATAGATTTCTGTAAGCGTCTTTTTAAATATCTTTTAATATTGCTTAATTTTGTACAAGACTTGTAAATAAAATGATAACAAATTTGCCAGAGATCAAAACTGAGCATTAGTATATTTTTTAAATGTCACAGAAATATTGCCAAAAACTTTTAATTCTTTGGTAAATTATACAGGGTTCATTTTTTAAATTGTTAATAAATACTATACTTGAAAATATTTTTGGGATTTTTGCCACTAGAAGATTTCCCTAATTAAAAAAAATACAAGTTTTCAGGAGGTAAAACTAAACACAAAGAACAGATAACAAAATATCTAAATACAACTATTCAAGAACACTTTAGTTTATTTTGTAGTAAAATCACAAATTAAAAATTACTACCTGGTAGCAATTATACAGGGTTGTTTGCCACAGACGATACGGAGTATTGTAGCTAAACGATTAGATTTATGCAAATTGTAAGTTTTGGGTTCGTCGAAGGACTATTAGAGCTACAATTTAAAAATATTTTTACAAGATACAGAGTGTCCCAAATAAATAAAAATAACAGTCGTATTATTTTAATGGAATACCCTGTATATTATTACATTTTTAGTTTCTACGATTAAAATAAAGGTAAATTTTATTAAGGTTTACCGCATTTTAATGTTAGTGTTTTTAAAATATTTAGGCTTTTGTCAAAATATAGTAATAATTTTAATGCTTCATTTTTGTAGGCGTATTTAAGTTTTGAAAACCAAATATTGTACTGAAGTATTTCTATTTACTAAATTTTGTGTTGCAATAATAAAAATTATACTATCTTATACAGAGTGTCTAAAAATTTAATTTAAATAATTACTAGCTTTAAACAGCAATAACTTGTTTAATTTAAATGGAACATCCTGTATATTTTATGAGAATCAGATGCACAATTTAATTGTCTCTCAAATTGTGTCATACCATTTTTTTCCTATCTCTTGAAGTTTTCGTAGAAAATACAATTTCTTATCATTTAGACCGTATTAATCAATATACCCATGGAATATTGACATTGAATAAACAATAAGCGAACGAACACTGAACATCAAATAAAAAACGTAATATACATTGAACCGTGTGAATGTGATTTTATGTTGGAGAAATATCCAGACCGTTAAATGTCTGAATGAAAGAACATAAAGATTATTTAGAAGGGTAATTTTGGCAAATCTAAGATTTTTCAGCATTCATGGGACACAGAACACAGAGCAGAATTTAACAATGCACGAATAATTATGTTGAAAAACCCGAGAACATAACATAACATAAATAGAAATTAAAAATATACAAAAATAATCATATACAGAGAGATTATAGCTTATTGATTTAATTAATTAACTAATTGTTATCAGATAGTAATTGTTAATATGAAGTTTGATTTCATATAATGTAATTTTCATCAGCTAACCAAACTTCAACTGTTCTATAACAGACATCTGTTAGAAAACTGGTTTTCTTGAATAGTTGTGTTTAGATATTTTAAAAAGTGTTTTCTATGCTCTTTGTGTTTTTTTTAAACGGTTATACATTTTTTGCCAGTTAGGCAAATTTGTTTTACTAGTAAAATACCACTAACAAATAAATTAGAGGCGAAAAAAAACAAACAAAAATTCTTTTCAATTAATGAACTCGCCAGAAATACACTGATACTTATTTGAAATATTTTATTACCATTTATGAAATATCACTTTGTAGCACTTTAAGAAAACCTCCCCTGTATAATATCAAAGAATTCTTCAAACGTATACTCTTTCAGTCTAAATTAAAATAAATAAAATTGCATCCGGATAGTTATATTAAAAATTCTTTCGACATATTTAAGATTTATTTGAATTTAAGGAAATATTAATATTCTTCTTAAAAAAGGTTAGGTCTTTCTGAAATCTGCCCTTTGACTTGACTAAGCACGCAAAGCTATATCAAGTGAACATAATTTAATAAAGTTGAACATGTTTAATATAACCTTTTTGAGCAAAAATTTGAAATTAAATAACGTTTTTTATTTAGATGAATGTAAACTATGTCCGTATATGGTAATGGTAAAGTAACAAAATGTTGTTTTGATTTTTTTAAAACTTTTAATCAACTATTATTGAAAATGTTGTATCATCGACAGTAATAGTTTGAGTTTCTGCGTTCTTTTTAACAGAATCTTTGCGAGATTTCTGTGCATTGACTGGACTAGCCCAATGAATGCACGTTGCTTCTAAATGTTTGTTTAAGTATGATTTTAGAGCAAAAGTTTTGTAACAATTGGGGCATTCGAATCTCTTTTCATTCGAATGAGTTTGCATGTGGGCTCTTAAGTTGGACCTGTAACAAAATTCGTAACTGAGCAATATCAACTAAATGTGCATCCGATGCTAATAAGTTATGAAAATATAAAATAGACTGAATTCATGCACTCGAGTGTAAAATATTGTTTTAACTTAAATAAAAATAAATATTTCCATTGTTTTTAAATCAAAACTACTATTACAAAAATATTTAAAAAAAATAAGTAAAAAATCATAATCATAAAAAACTTGATATACAGGGTGTGTCTTAAATTAGTACAAATATTTTTAGAGGTGCCATATTTTGACCCGAGAAACATATCTATGATGTGTTTTTCGCAATTTTTTTTTAATTTGAATTTTTTTCAAAAAAAAATTGGATTTTTTTAAATTTTTAGTTAAAAAACCTAATATCTTTATCATATAGTAACATAGGTAAAAGATTAAATTTACAAGAAATAAATTCCAGAAAATGTAAGCGAAAAATATATTTTTTTTAATTTTCAAAGTAAAATATCTCGGTTATTTTGGACTTATTTGAAAAACGGTAAAGAGAAAATATGTTTTTTTTCGACATTTACCGACCCTGAAAATATTTGCACCTATTTGGGTCTCACTCGGTATATCGGTATTTTATTTCTTTTATGGAATAGCTAATAGTAAAATTCTAATTAGTGTGATGACAATTCATATTTTTAAAATAAAACTGTCTGAATATAGAAATGACAAAAAATGATTTCTTTTCAACTAGAAACACGCGATGAAATTCCAATTATAACTTAAATTTAAATAAAAAACAAATTTATTAGTTCTTTGCGCATTAAAAGCAAATAACTTGACAAAACGTTTATCAGTAATGTTATAAAATGTTTAGCTCTAATAAATACGCACAAGAATGCTTAAAAATAAATATTATCTGCATTCTAAATATTATTTTTGTGTTTAATTTTACCGATTTCTTTATTAATTAAATATAGTATATAGAAACATCTATAGAAATTATACGTTTTATAAAAGATAGTTATTATATATCAGTTAATGCAACATTTAATAAAAAAATGAAAGAAAAAAAAAAGGAATCATGTTTTTACTTACCTATCTGCGAATGCTTTTCCACAATGAGCACAGCCGTACGGTTTTTCACCGGTGTGAGATCTAAGATGGCCCTGAAGTAGCCAGGGCCTGGAAAATTGCTTGCCGCAAATTCCACAGGCGTGTGAAAGTTTATGGGTGAGCAGGTGCATTGCTAGAGCCGGCATTGAAACGTAGGCCTTACCACACGTTTTGCATTTTTTGGCTGATTTTGAGTCCAAACTCCTGCAAAAAAAACATAAAAAAGTTTCACCATATATGTTACACATACTATTACGTTTTACACTAACGCAGCTTTTACAAAGTTAAATATAGGTAGGATATTTAACTTTGTAAATTAAATATAGTATCAGGTAGGGAAGACTGGATAAATGGTATATGAGCTGGAATAGAAGGGCCGAAACAAGGAATAGCTTTCCCCGTAAGCCTATCAAATAATGTCACAAATTTCCAGGCCGAAATAACGGCAATCTATTATTGTGTAGAAGAAATAATAACACAAGAAAGAACAACATCGTTCAGTTGCCATCTTCACAGATAGCCAAGTAGCCGGTTTCACAAATGTCAATTCTAGACTAATGTAGAATTGTGTACGTGCTCTAAATACATTGGGTGAGCATAGCAACGTTACGTTAGTATGAGTCTCAGGGTAGGAGGCTTACAAGGTAACAAAAAAATTAGATGAAATGACCAAGCTCATCAATGCTATTACACCTAGAACACTTCTGCGGAACTGAAAAATGTGTCACAAAGAAGTGACAAAAGAGTAGTTGGTGGATAAATTCACTAGAGCTGAGACAGAAGAAAATGTCATCAAAGAACATTTGCCGAAATGTACGGCAGATCTGATGGCAAAAGAAACGACACAACACATTTTTTGTCAGTGTGATATTAGGCTATGATAGGTCAATGACATTGAGCTATATGGATGTTTCAGTCTTCAAGTTGTTGAAAAAGATGGAAAATGTAACTCATGGCTTAGAAGAAGACTACAAAATACCTGAAATGGTCGCAGTGGATCTGGTCGATAACCTCCTCGAAAAAAAAATAATCTAATCTTACTGTTACAGTTGGGTGTGGTAGACAATAATTCAGTAATGAAACTAAAATAATTTCGAACTTCCATTGTCTTTATTTATTTTGCTAATACAACGTTTCGGTCAGAAATATCACTGACCGTTATCAAATGTGAACTAATCGTTGAAACGTTGTGTAAACAAAATAAATAAAGTTAATGGAAATCCGGAATTCTTTTAGTTTCATTATAGTTGGTTGTTGAAATATTTGGTGTTACAACAGCAAAATAAAACAGTAATTCACCACAATACACCAAAACAACCTAACCTATCCAAACCAAGAGTTACCTAGTAATATTTAAAGTTAATAAATTACTTTAAAATACGTTAAATTTATATCACCTGTGAGTTTGTTTATGCCTTGAGAGATTACTTGACGTAGCATAACATTTTCCACACTCATTACATATGAATTTCGTTGACTTATCTGATTCAGGTGGATCAATATCATCTTCAATATCTTCTTCTATAACCTTGTAAAATTTCTGAAACAAAATATAGATTTTTAATAAAAAGAAATCAATTAAGATGTTATACATTGACAGACATCCGAAACTGGGAAAAACAAAACTTGTGCTACTTTTTGTGACACATAATTTTCTGATCCGCTTAATGGACTTCTAAAATTATTTCACTGGCGAATAGCCCTACTAATTGATTACACAGCTGCGTAGAAAAGTTTAATTTTTTGTGAATTTAATTTAATATACAGGAAAAAGAAATAATTTTTTAACTAAAATTTAAGCTGTTCTCCCGTTTTGCCAGATTCATCTAAGCAATTTTGACTTTACCCATGATGGTACTAGTTAGCAAATAAATAATTAAAGATTTAGTAACATGTTGGCCTCCCTGCCCTGTGATCTTAATATAGCAACACATCGCCTACCCATGCTTGAAATGCAGTGATTTATTTTTTCTTGTTCAATTAATGGCAACTCTTCCAAAACACGTTAGATGATCCATATTCGCTATTCCAGGTCGAGCTTTAGTTGTTTTGCTCTAGTAGAGGATCTAGAATTTTTTGAGGGAACCAACTTTACACAAAATGTGATTGTTTGGATCAATATCACAATTTTATCGGTTTTCAAAAACGGCATGCCTTAGGCCAGTATTATACTATCAAACCTCTTTGTCAAAGATTTTTTTATCACAGAATTTGAAAGTGCTATATGTGTGATTTTATAAAATATTATTAACACATATTGACAATGTCAATTTTTTCTTTTATAAAAGATCTTTGATAAAGAAATTTAATAGTGTAATGCTGGCCTTAGAAACATCATCATAGGTGGTTATATAGGAACCTAGGACCTAGGCCACCATATAGAGCCATCTATGGTCTGCCCAGCATATTCCAGATATGTTCAATAGAATTAAAATCAGGAGAACATGTCAGCGAAACCATTCGTGCAATATCATTGATGACAAAAGAATTATTGAAAATTTTTGAATTTAAAAAACTGGCTACCTCCCTTTGATGCTAGTCCGTTTGTATCACACGAATTGCTTGGTTCAGTTGATCTCGGAAGAACCTTGGTATTATGACAGAATTATATCCATTTCAATCCTTAATATAAATACTAAACAGTACTCTGACATACATTGATTTTATCAATACCTATTAATTGATTTTCAGTAAGCATCCATCAAGTAGACCTGTATGAATAAGTAGGTATACATAAAATATAATGTTTTAGAAAAAAGTGGATTAACTTTAAAATATTTAAATATAAAAAACAAGAAAGAAAAAAATGTACAAAAAAAGAATATCCGTTACCTTCGTGTAAAAAAATCGGTATCACAATTGGAATTAACCTTTTTTTTATACTGAATATTAAATTAAATTATAAGGAAAATGAAAGTTTGTTAAAAAAACAGTATAGTCAATAAGTGTGGCAACGCGTTAGTGATTTTGTTTTAAATCCATTAAGCGGATAAAAATATGTGATCACAAAAAGTAGGACACATTATAGTGACACATTTCATCTGTCTATTAGTTTATATAAACTTACAGTTTTACTGCTATTAGTGGTTGGACTGGAATCTGTAATATTTTCTTTGGTAGTGTTGTTAACTTGGTATGCTTCTTCGTCATAATCATTTTTAGTTTTTATAGAGTTATCAGTAGTTTTAGCCCTTTTTCTCCTTCTGTCTGGTATATCCATTAACAAAGCAGTATTTTTATTCGATACCGTTTGCAAAAATGTTGAACCTTCAAAACTCTCATTTTGACCATCATTTTCACATAAAGAACTATTTTGAGTAATATTGTCGATATCAATGATTGTGTCTTCTGACTCAGAATTAGAAGAAACTCTTGAAGAAGTTCTTTTAACGCCTTTCTTCAAATGCGTCCATCCTGATTCTCTTTGATCTATTTCAGAGTTATATGTTACATCTAAATTAGAGATCCTTCCGCCTACAGTAAGTTGTGGAGGTTTATGAGTACCAGTTTCTGAGATATACTCTTTTGGTCCTAGTGGAATATCGGGCTCAGGTGATAATGGTAAAATTATAAGATCGCCGGAATCTTCCAAGGTTACTGCTGTTTCAGGTAGTTGATGTTGTCTGGATGTAAGTAGAACATCTTTTTGGATAAATATCTGTAATAGAAAAATAATCAGGTAAATAATGTATTTTATTTCGGTAGTAAAGTAAAGTAGGTATTTTATAAATAAAAAGTGAAAGGTTCTTGCAGTATGTTATATATATGTAAGTTCTTCTGTTATATATAATAGTTCTAATTTATGTTATATACTAACATGCCAAATCTTGTTTTTTTAATCTGAAAAAATAAATCATTTGACGCACCTGGTAGGGCTTTTGTTCGAGTCTCTTGATCATAATATACTCGATATAATATGTCACTACATAAATACGCATTCTCCATAATTAGGAAGACGGCGTTAAATTATAGTTTATTTTATTGCTGATATATAAATTTGGTATAATAGAACATAATATTTTATTACTAAGATAATAATTACTTATCTATATTTATATCATTATTAGTACCTATATTAAAAACGTTTGGGTACCCAAGCTCATAGTACATAATTCTAATATTTATTTTCTAAACGAACAGTATTCTAATCAATAAATCAATTCTCACGATTCTTTGAACAAACGAGCTGTAGAAACTAACGAGTCACATTGTGATCCGACTGAATTCTTACAGAAATTTTATAGGTCCGTTCTGGCTACTATTCAGTTGAACCAACCGTTTTGTAAGCAATGAATCAATTCTCGTTGAAGGATTTGAGAGGAACAGGATGAATTTGAGAGGAACAGTTGAAGGATTGAATTGGAACGAGTCGTAGAAACGAACGAGTCGCATTGTGATCCGATTATATTCTTACGACTCTTTTTTACGTTCAAATTTTATGAATCCGTGTGTAGATAACCAGACAATTCGTATTGCTGGCAGCATTATGTATACATGACACAAAGAAAACAACAAATCTTCTCTTTGTATCATGTTCTGAATATATCGTTTGTCATATATGGGACAAATAATCTATACTTGTAGCACAGCTTGTTGTAGTTTATAGTTTGTCTGCCGTTTTTCAATAAAAGTTTACTTAATTTTAAGTTTTGTGTTTACTTCTGGTTTATTCAAACCGAGTGGTTGGTTCTTTCTCTCTGTGTTCTGAATAATAACACAACACCGTGCTGGCCACGATTCAGTTGAACGAACCGTATTCTAAACGGTGAATCGAATCTAACTATTCATTTTTATTGCTCGTTCAAATGAACGATTCGTTCAATCTTTGTCCACTTCTTCAGTAGAGATATTTTTTACAGACTATTATATTTTTAGATATCATTTAGTCCTCCTATCAACTCGAGTATTTTCAACATTCTAAATTTGAGTTCCAATAATAAGATTAATTAAACATCGACCTATATTATTTCATTTCGCTTCATAAAAAATATATTTAATTAATTTACTTTATCGTCCAATTGAAATCTAGTTCTCCATATCCCGAAAAAAGTTTTAATTAAAAACGCGCTGAGATCGGAATCAGTGCAAATAACATTTACAATTTTTTGACACGTTAATTTAGTTGAAACAATATTAAAAAGTTATCGGTAGCGGCCGGCTCAATTTGTTCGATAAAATTGGAAGCCACTTTTTCTCGTTTTTTTCTTTTAGTTTTACCCCTTTTTTATTTTATTTCGATAGACTCACGTCAAGATTCCGAATGCAGATTTGGGTCGGCTGGTGACAGAGAAAGAGTTACGCAGGACCGGCTTCAACACTATTATGAACGTGAGCATTCAAAATTTATTCAAATATGTAGTTGGCAATTATGTAATATTTCATAAGCCATTACATATTTCATTCAAATATGTAATGGTTTATCTCGTATTAGAGGAAGATACTGTATTAGAGGATGATTGGTATGTAATGGCTTATCTCGTATTAGAGGAAGATACTGTATTACAGGATGATTGGTACTAATGCTATTACACTTAGCAGCAATTACTTATCCAACTTAAACTCATCCAACAATTGAAAAAATCTTGAGATTAAATTTTAAAAAAGATTAAAATTTCTTATCTCGTTTTGATCAGGGTCACATTATTATGGAAAACAAATTTAAATATCGGCAATAAATAAAGATTCCAATTAATTATTAATTAATAATTACTTTTATACAAAAACTTCTCTTGTATGCTATTACTAATAAATAAACTGAACTAAACTAATTGTGTGTCTACTAATAATAATATTTTTCATGGCAGCGCTCTCCATTACAGTGGACAGCAAATGGTGGCATTAGATACAGATACGGCGGTCTGTTCAACATAAAAGAAACTCAGGGCAAAAACACGTACAAAATTCATCACAAAACTTTAATACACTGATGACTGCGCTCTAGTTGCAAAAACGTTACAGCAATTACAAGAAATGTTGAACACATATAGCTGGGCATACGAGGCTTTGGGCCTTAAGCTGAACATCGACAAAATTAAAATCATGTGCACTTCCCCGGAAGATCACAACAACGCTATAAAAATCGGAGAACTATTGAAATCTGTAGCAGAATTCAATTACCTCGGCAGTATGATTTCCGAAAAGACCAATAGCGATTCTGAAATTCAGCACAGGATTAGCATCGCCTCAAGAGCATTCTGGAAATTAACAGACAGGGTTTTCTACAATCATGACTTGAGCACAAAAACGAAACTTGCAGCTTACCGAGCAATAATAATCCCCACCATGTTATATGGAACCGAAACCTGGGTCCCGTACGGCCGACACATGAGCGCATTAAAAATTTGCAACAGACACACATTAGATAACTCTTAAGAATCAAATGGTTCTATCATGTCTCAAACGTATCAGTCCTTGAAAAAGTTAGCTGAGAAAGCATTGAAGTCATGATTACAAAATCCCGCTTAAGATGGGCTGGTCACGTATGCAGAATGCAAGAAAACCGCCAACATAATACCAACATATCTGCTTTACGGTGTGCTTGTAGACGGTAAGAGGAAACCGGGTTGGACAACTCAAAAGGTACAAGGATATGCGTACGTATTTTTTAAATAAATTCGCACATAAAGCAGGTGTACAAGGATATTTTCTACAAAAACTTAGGGGATAAGCATGCAGAATGAATGGGAAGAAGCAGCGCACAATAGAACGCAATGGAGAAGAATTGTAAACTCAGTTAACAGGGACAACTAAAAAGTAAAGAGGCAACAAAGCAATGAGTTTTTGAATGTCCGGAATGCGGTAGAGAGATAACAAACGCCTTGCGTAGCCATCTTCTGATGCGTGTCAAATACCTACTCGTCGGCGAGTAATGGCAGTATGTAGGTATGTATACTATTAAATATTTGGTTTGTCTTGACGCTAGTGAAAACAGCCGATAAATGTTCGAATTTATTAAAATTATTGCCAACCAAATGAGCCATTCAGAATAGTCAATTATTTCAATCATTGCAGATCGCTCCGTATATTTTGCAAAACGAAATTCCGCACCATTTTGTAAAAAGACGAAAATTCTAAAAGTCGAGATTGTTTTATGGATATAAAATTCTGCACATCACGCAACGTGTTTCAAAACAAATACAAATAATATATTAAGACTTGCTGACTCGGTAAACGTTGTTTTGTCATATAAATTATTCCTAGGATTATTTATTAGAAAAAAAAATTATGTTTGCTCTACGTGCGCATATTTCCGTTGCTATGTCCGTCTCTCTGTCTGTCTGTCCGACTCTCTGTCCGTCTCAGCCTGATGAAGATGTGTAAACGAAACGGCGGGCGTATCCAATTTTGCAAGGTAGGAGCGTGTGCAGCGTCGCTCACATAGCCTACACACCAAATTTGGTCGCGATCGGACGACATCTACTTTTGACGTTTATTACATCAAAACTAACTGTCACAGTGACACGGGACGTGGCGACACGGTCAAGTTGGCCTTGGTGCAATCTATGGACATACCAAATCTTATTTAAATAGGACGATTTTTTCGCTATTGATGGAGTTTCATAGTGCACGAAATTTCGTCAAAATATCATGAAAACAAAATATCATACATTCCAGAGTTTCAGCCCCCTAGCTCACAAAGGGCCGGAGCTACGACGCTCCAAAGACCCATCTTAACTTCCTCATTGGCTTACCACTTTTTCGATCGTTACCACTTTTGTGACGCGTGTTCCTAGCTCGTGTGTCGCGGCCTTGAATTTCCGCCTTGAATTTCCTATTCCGCGTAAAGAAGTTTCACTTCAAAAATGATTAACTTATTGTCAGTATGTGAGGATGTGGTATATATGAGTGCAAGAAGAATGATATGATGTGATAGGGATGTAATAGTGATAGTTGATCAATTATCGACCAGGGTTGAAAATGATTGAATTACTAATATCGCTATTAAAAAATAGGGGTTTATGGTAGAAGTGTCAAAATTTAGGGTTGTATGTATTTTTTAACGACACATACAAATACAAAAAAATAAAATAGAAATGTTTGTTTAAAAAATAAGAAAAAAATTGAGGTGGACCACCCTTATCACGTGGTATAAAAAATAGATAACAACCTATTCTCATATCCACTGAATATACATATAAAATTTCATCAAAATCGGTTAAGCCGTTTCGGAGGAGTATGGTAACAAAAACTGTGACACGAGAATTTTATATATTAAATGATATTTTTTATTTAAACCACTAAAGAAGTATTTGCTGGGTGAATATAATTGGGGTGTTGCTGCATGATATACTGGTTGTCCTGACGTTCTCAAAAATTCAAAATTATATTTACTGTTTAATTTTTATTATTATCTTTGTCAACTCCTGTCAAGACAAGACAGGTTGCTCTCAGAAACAGAGGCAGACCTCCGACAAGATGGACAGATGACTTAAAGAGATTTAGGGGAAACTGGATCCAAGTAGCACAGACCAAGAAGAGCGGAAAGATTTGAGGGAGGCCTACGTCCAGCATGATGATGATGATTGTCATCTCAAAATAATTATACTTAGACATAGACTAAACTTCGCCGGTTTTTGTCTTTTTGTACGATATCAATAGTAATTATATTAAACATGATATTGTAAAACTCTCTTTGATGAATAAAATCTTTTTTTTTAA